AAGTGGGAATTTCCCAAAATTAGGGGTACCCTGTTGCGGGTCCCCATATTAAGGATTATAGTATTTTGGAGTTTATATTGGGGTCCCCTGATTTTGGGAAACTACCAAGTCAGTGAGGGGTGAGCAGTCGGCAGCTTTGATTGGGTGAGCGTCGGTCCTCTGGGGCTGTGACCGCGCAGGGTGCAGGGCTGGGTTTTGGGGGGTTGTGGAACCCCCTTACACCCGTAGAAGAAGAGCAGAGAGAGGAGAGATGCAAACATCTGCAGATACGTAGGCATTCTGTTGGGATTGCATTTCGAAAATTAGGAATCATGTTGCATCAAGATTCGCGCCTGTCTCGCATCTTGCAGGATTGACGATGATACGAGGATACGTACAGAAGATGGAGATGATGTTGCACTAGCCCTGAACCCCAAATCCTACTCACATACCCTAACCCAGGAAGCACAGTATACAGCTGACAGCTTGTGTATGCTGGTGCTGCAATAGCATCGGCAGGGGTTGGGGAAGGTTTTGGCCAAGGACCAAAGTGCGAAACCCTTAGCCTGGGAAGCAGGTCTTTGATGGCTCCAAGAACAACATCGCGATCAGCAATGGTCACGGTTGCTTGGTTGCTGCCAAACTACTGTTTACATGGTCGGGTATACCCGATCCTAGACTATGGTTCCCCTTAAGTAGATAGAATATGGCTTTGGGTATATATTAGAATAAGATCCACCGAAACCGCACATTTTATCTACTTACTTAAGGGCGACTACAAACCCTACACCCCCCAAACCCCAAAACCCTAAACCCCTAAACCCTAGATGGTAGTTTCCATTTTCTTTTCCATTATCCTTATACCACCTATACCACCTTCAGGGGGACTGCAGGTAAAATGATGAACCCTAAACCCTAAACCCCAAATCCTAAACCCTAAACCCTCAACAACTTTCAAGGCTTCGACAGGGAATACCACCTGAAAGTCAATCCGCAGGCGGGCCAAGCGTGACTGAGGGTTTGAGGTGTAGGGTTTAGGGTTTTGGGGGTTTAGGGTTTAGGGTTGAGGGTTCACGGTTTAGGGTTGAAGGTTTAGGATTTATGGTTTAGGGTTGCACTGGTGTCTGGGTGTTTTGGAGTTTTCAAAGCCAGAAATTCGATGCCTTCAGCCTCTAGCTAAGGACCTTAAGCCCTAAAGCCCCAGCCCCGATTCCTAAATCCAAAGCCCTAAGCCCGTGAGCTCTCGACGTGATATATCGCTTGGGTACTGCCCCCCCTTCAGTAACAGTTGGATAATAATTATAATATGGTTATATATAGCCCTTAATAGGACCCCTAATACAGACTGGTACTGGGTGGGGGCAGTACCCAATATATCCCTATTTACCTCTTTTTGACGTTTTAAAGGCCTGTATCCCTAGAAGGGACTGAACGGCCTACACCTAAGCCCTAAACCCTGAATCCTAAATCCTAAACCCTAAACCCTAAACCCAAAAACGTTACTCGCAGGACGGCTTCAAGGAGTTTTCGGACTTTGGCGTGATGGAGGTCATCACATGGAGCCACGGCTTGATGGTTTTGAAGCCCAAAATGGAGATCATAAAAGGCTCCTAGTATACCCCCTAATAAGCCCCAGTATAGGGTTTAGTTAGGGTTTAGGGTTTAGGTTTTAAACTCCTAGTATCCCCCTTCATACGCCGGATAATGCTTCCCTATATAGTCCATGTCGCCCCTATTTAAGGAGTTTAGTCTACAGATCATATAGGGCCCTAAAATGGAGAATCAGATGGCAAAGAAACTGGAACATGACCTGTCCACCTTCCAGCAATTGTCCTTAAACGTATTCTTTATAAGGAAGTTGTCATTATTCCTAGCACGCGTTGTAGAAACTGTTACTGTAAGTGGGCATCAGCCGAGGTGCAGGGATTTGAGTCGAGGGTTTGGGGAGTAGGCTTCAGGATTGAGGTATTGGGGTTGAGGGCCCTAAACCCTAAACTAGGGAGAAGGGCCCACGCTTGAGGGACTCACTTTGAGGGTGGGCTTATGTTCTAGGGATCCTAGGGTTTAGGGTTTAGGGTTTCGGCTGTTTGAGTGCAGGTGGGCTGAACTTTTAGGATTGACGTTGTTTAGGGTTCAAGGTTTAGGGTTAAGGGTTTAGGGCATACCTATATAAAGCAGCCCGGTTCCCCAACATATAATATTCACCGTAAGAGATCTTATATATTCGAACCCATATTTGATATTCGGGGCGGGGAGTAATTTTGTATTCAGAGCACGGGATTAGGGCTTATTAAGGAATGTTTGATGTCACCGTGGGATCCAATGTTTTGTCATTTCCCCTTAAAAAGTTCCCAGCAGAGGTCACAGGAGAGGTATAGTAGCCCCTTGGTAAGACGGGACAGTTACTGTGTGGGGGAACGATGCAAATCCCATGGTATCAGTATTTTTGGGAACCCTCCATACGACCAGGGTCAACTCGGCGTTTGGCAAAAGGGCAAAACTACTGCGGTTTGGTTTAGGATTTAGGGCTTTATCCGGGGATCGCGCATTACCTCCACCCGAACACCACCGCCACCCACAAGACCCTGAACCCTAAGCCGTAATCCTAATCCCTAAACCCCAGACACTAAACCCTAGTCCCTAAACCCTAAACCGCGTTTCATTTGGGCGGTATGTCTTGGTTCAGAGGGGGATTCTAGGGTAGGGTTAGTAAGGGGGATGCCGTGGTTTCATGTGGACAACAATGAGGCTTAGAGGGTTTAGGGTTTGGGGCTTGGCGTGAATTTGGGATTTAGGGTTGATATGGTTAATGGTTGAAGGTAGGTGGAAGGTGTTGTGTAGAGCTGGGCTTGTAGAAGCTGGAGAATGAACCGGAGATAAGCCTTCAACCCTAAACCCTAAGCCCTAACCCCTAAACCCCTAAACCCCTAAACCCCTAAACCCCTAAACCCCAAACCCAAAACCCTAGACGATGGTTCCGGTTTCAAGGATTCGGAGTGCTCAGGGATTTGAGTTACCCCAACCCGTAAAATGAGGCTTCTATTGTAGGGTTTAGGGTTTAGGATTCGGGGTTTAGGGTTTGACTGTTATAGGTGCCTCGTTTTAGGCGTTGGGGACCCCAAACCCTAAACTTTCAATTCTTAAGCCCTAAACCCTAAGCCCAAAATTGCGTGCCAGTGAAGGGTTTGGAAGGGTCGAAGACAATACAGCAAGCGGATCTTATCCGGAACTCTCGCTGTTAAGGGTTTAGGCCAAAACCCCAAAGCGAAGAAGAAGCCAGGAACCGGGTGCTGTCGGATGCGGAGATGATGACCACCATCGACTACCTTCAGAAGAAGTTGAAGCTGGGTACGGCGTAGAGTTACTGGCTTGTCCGCTAACCGCTGCCTGCTGTTGTAGCAGGGGTCCTCAAGACTACGGGCCCTTTTTCGAGGCTCTCATAATAGGGTTTAGGGTTCTGGTTGAGGGTTTACTTACTGGGTTTCAGTAGGGAAGAATGGAACTATACAATCCGTATACAATCCCCATATAATAAGGTATTCCCTTATTCCCTACCAGGAACCAGCAAGTTAAGAACTACGGGTGTAACCCTAACTCTAAACCCCGAAACCTTAAACCCTAAACCCTTAACCCCGAAACCTTAAACCCTAAACCCTAAACGTGAAACCTTAAACCCTTAACCCTAAACCCTAAACCGGGTTTAGGATAAGGATGCCTTGGCCTAGTTTTGAGAGATCCCTGCCCAACGCCAGCATTTGCCATTTGAGGGAGGGCTGAAACTCCGCCCAGAAAACCCTGAATGGCCTGTCGGACCTATCCTAGGTGGTTAGACCCCCACCCTCTGATAGTGGTATACTGGTTTAGGCTTTAGGGCTCAAGATTTAGGGACACAATCCCAATGGGGCTTAATCTAAGGCACAACCCCCTTGTATGAGTCATATGACAGTCGTAGGGTCCTTGCCTTTTGGGGGGTGGAGAGGTGGGGTTCGCAAAATCCCCTATTTCATGGTAGCTTGAAGAGCCCCCGCCAGAAGAAATCGCAGAATCATGTGGTAGGGAAGTATGTGGCTAGGCTTTGCCAATTGCTGATGGGAGAAATCCGGAAACTAAATTTAAGGTTTAGGGCCTAGGTGGTGCAAAATTTTTCCGCCATCAGCAGTACGCTCTGTTGGGGGGGGCTCTTGAAATTAATTGTGCTGGGTTGGCCTTTGGGATACTTGAATATCTTCCTTAATGGGTTTCATAAGGACCCTATATACCAATATTTTTTCAAGGAGTTGCAAAGGCCGACCAAGTTTGCAGTCCGATGACGGAGAGAACCTCTTGGAGGCCTCCGCAGAATCCGGCTGCTGCGTCTGCCCCATTCCGGCAGTTACAAAGCACCCCCTGACCCTCCCGAATATTTTAGGGTTTAGGGTTTAGGGTTTAGGGTTTAAGCCCTAAACCTTAAACCCTAAACCCTAGCCCCCCAGAATGGGGAGTAGAATTGATAAGGGCACCCCACGTGCTAGTAGTCATGAAGTGATCACAGAGGATGATGATACCTATAGCGCAGTCCCAAGGTCCTACCATGCCTCTCTAAGTGGTTGGCGGACTTCCTACACAATAATCGGGGACCTAGAAACACAGGGGAGTGCTTGAAAATATATAAGACCTTTCTCTTTCATTTAGACCTGCTGGTGGTTAGTAGTAGGGAAATAGAAGAAAACGATCCCTACGCAATCCTTACATAGTATACCTAGTATACCCTAGACCTAGACCCTATAAACCACCAGTAGGTAGAGTGTGCGTGGAGCGTGCCAAACAAACAAGGTCTCGTGTGAGTGGCTCATGAAAGGGCCTCCTAGGGACCCTCTGCGGAGTTGGTAGTTTCCCTAAATAGGGTTTAAGGTTTAGGG